CTGCTGCGAGTGTCTGATTCACACACCTACTGACATGGAGGGAGATTTAGGATGACACGTTAAGTCCGCTAACGCAAAGTTTTGCAGATATTTTATTGCCCCAGCAGTCCTGCCAACAAAAACTAATACCTGCTGCCAACAAGCAGTTAGAAGTCAGATCCACAAAGTCAAACCTGTAGAGAAAACCTGCCAAGTGAGGCCCTTTTAGGACTGATGTATTTATAGTGGCTCACTTATATGAACAGATCATTATTTCAGTTTGAAGCATACATCAGGAGTTAATTTAGTTGCCAACACTAATATACAGTATATATATATATATGTAATATCCCCTTTGGCTTGTCTACGAGGGAAGTATAATGTTATAGACAAAACAAAAATGAGCAAAAGATTTGTAAGAATTGGCTGCTTTGTATTCTTTATTGCCATTTTTGAACACTTAATTTAAACTAAAATCCAGAGTTGTGAAGTAACTAAGTACAAATACTTTGTTACTGTACTTAAGTAGAAATTTTGTCAATCTGTTCTTTACTTGAGTAATTATTTTTCAGCATACTTATTACTTTTACTCATKACATTTTTACACAATTATCTGTACATTCTACTCCTTACATTTTTAAAAAAAGGGTAAGAAGTAGAAAGTCGTTATTCCTATTTTATTCTGAGTTGTTATAATTAAAAAATACTATCCTGATAAATTGTGCCTCCTGAATAGAGTGAATGCAATTGTGGTTGGATGAGAAGTATAAATATATACCATTCTGACACCATATTGCCTTGTACACAACCCATCACAGCTGCACGCAGTTAGAAAAAATGTTTTTTGGAGGTCACCTCCCACTAAATGTCATTTCGGAAAATCTAACAGCTCTCTTTTACTCAATACTTTTACTTTTAATACTTAGATTTTGTGTCAGAAATTTACTTTTGATACTTGAGTGCAAAAAATTTCAGATACTTCATGACTTTTACTCAAGTAATATTCTTAGAGAAGACTTTAACTTTTACCAAAGTATTTTTATGATAAGATACTTGTACTTTTACTCAAGTACCAACTTGAGGTACTTTATACAACACTGCTAAAATCAAACAAACCATTTACAAGTGCATATGTGTCTGTGTATGTCAGAACTAATAAAATAAATCGCTCCGGGGTCTGGACATCATTTTCCATTAATGGTATGGTAAGTATTATTTTTTACCTTCTAAATTTGTTTATTTTGTTGCATTGAAATGTAAGTTTTACATTTACAAATGATTTGAAGAAAAAAAATCTTTTGTTAGTCAGATGGAAGTCACCCGCTGGCCGGATGTGACCCGCGGGCCACCAGTTGATAAGCCCTGCTTCATGTTTTAGGTTCAGTTATTAGATTCATAGTTTATAGAGTAGTTTTAAGGCAGTCTCTACATATTTATAGTGTTTTTTAACTTTAAAAAATGCACTGTGTCACAAACACTGTCAAACAGTTTTGAAGTTAACTTCTGGCGACCACATGTCAGCCTTTTATCAKAAATTACAAATAAATTAACAAATATAAATTAAAATGTTGCACAAAAAATGTGTTTTCTCCTTTTCTTCTCTCTTCTCAGTGCTCAGGCTCTTATGTTTCCTTTTCTCCTGGTCTTTCTTCTTTTTGTGTACTGGAGTTCAGTCTATGGTCCTGCTTCTTCTCCTCCAACTGAAATACATTACTTGGATTAACATTCCTACTGTAAGCTGCTTCAGTGCAGACCCAACTCATCAAGCCCAGCCCCTCCAGCTTAGGCCCACTTGCGTGTAATTTCCTGTTTGCCTTAGGACCCCCCCACCCCCCACCCCACACACACGCACGCATACCATCCTAATAATGGACTCCAATATGTATGATGTGCTGAGTTTGTGAGCCTGAGCTGCAGAAGAACCTGCATGACAGCATGAAAAAGCAAATACAAGAGGAAGAAAGATGAGGGTTTTAGCATTAAAAAGCTAAGAAACTACCAAACATGTGAGAATTAYAGGGAATATGTTTACTGGCAGAGACCAACAAGGTAAAAAAATAAAAGAAACTGGGACCGGTTGTGAGTGAGTAGTAGAAACCAGAACAAACCTGGGAGCAGACTTAAAGAAACATGGCAAGAATACAGWACCTGAAACCTAAACTAACAAACTGGTAATATTAAAACAAAACTACTCAACAAAATACAGTCAGATCCATGATGAAACAAAGATGTATGCCTGACTGAACATTAAAGGTTAATAAAAGATCACCGATGCATGAAGGCCAAAAAAAGTTGAACTCATCCAACACATTTCACAATAAACTTATGTGAAAAACCTTATGTCAAGGTGCATGTGCCTTTATAAATCTTTTATGCTCTTTTTTGTTTTTTACTTTAAAGTCTATGAACACTTGAATCTGTTGCRCTTGACAAGACATGAGAGGAAATATACTTAACAAAAACCCAGCATGTACAATTTTTAGTTCTCTGTTGCTGTTTGACAGTTGGTCTGACCATCTTAGCTGGACAAAGCTGAGTTTTGTTTCTGCAGAAGCCCAATTTGTGGAGGCATGATTGGTAAATACATAGTWTTATGCAGTGCAAATATTTCACGATAAAAGCTAAATTATATACAGTTGGTAATAATTTGTAAACTCTCTAGATGGGCTTAGTGATGGTGGGTTTGTGTAAATGCCCATAAATGCTTTTGAAATTAGACTGGAAAGGTGAGGAACTGAACCAGTCGCTGCGTGATTTCGGTGTGGGCTTTAGTCAGTGGAATCTAAAAATCACACCACAGAACAGAACAGGGAGGAAAACAAAGCCAAAACCATTGTGATCCTATATGTTGCTGGAGTATCTGTGAAACTCCAAAGGATTTTCTCCAAACACGACACACAAACACTAACTGAACTCTACATGGTATTTCATGCACAGAAACAACATTTTAAAATGTCCTCTTCTAAACACTGAAAAGTACTACATGTACGACTGACTCTATATGAAATAAATAATACAGAAATACTATTAAAAGTAAGAGAGTTTTACTCACTTACGTGGTAAGTCGCCGCCATCTTGAATTCTGAATTCTCCCACTTTCCAACAGGGAATTCCTATTGGATGGGGTGTTCTAGTTTAAATTTAACTTGTAAGTGGGAAATTCCCACTTCCCAGGACAAWTGGGTAACAGCAGAAGTAGCCAGTGGAAATGCAGCAAAATGGAGACGTGGCAAATTGTGCACCTCCACCTCATGGGACGCTATCATTGTAAGGGTAAAGTAATCAACATGCATTATGGGAGATGTAGTTTATGATTTACATTGGCTTTAAAGCCACATATTTTAAGACACCAATACATCTTTGAAGCTCTTGCGGGCCACATAAAATAATGTGGCAGGCCACATTTGGCTCGCAGGCCTTGAGTTTGACACGTTGCTCAGTGCATTAATATTAACAACACAAAACAAACTCCCACTGTACCTGTAAAACTTTCCTGATTTGGTTTTCATGTGAGGTAAGCTGATCGAAATAAAACTATTTCCTGATTTAATATTTCATTACAGTCCTGCTGAGTTTGTGAATTCAGCTCACATTTTTGAAACAAGTTTAAAAATAAAACGAGAAATCCGTCGTGCTGCAGTAACTTTTGTCTCAAACCCATTCCAGACACCTCTAATTGGCTGGTATTTATCCAGGAGCCCAGGAGAGCAGAGTGCACGCAGGGATGTTTTCACATGGGATTAACCCAGGTCCAAATCCCAACTCTCTTCACAGAGAAAGGCCCGATGTTCTCACTGCATCATCTGGCAAAAATTGTCTCCCTCCGGCCTGTTTACCCAACGTGACCACTCGGATTTAGCTCACAGTGTTTGAGCTACTCATCGTGGCAGGAGGATGAGGTTTCACCCAAAGATGCTTCTGAAGTGTAGCAACTTAAAAACATAAAGTCTGATTTAAAATCATGGGCAGAATACTAACAGACACCTGAAATAACACAGATGAAAGTTATACTAATCACAGGACTTTAAAAAAAATATGCTGCTGTTTTAGACTCTTTGTTCAAACTCAAATAAATCTACAGCAACTGTATTTTTAAACTGATTTAACTGGGATGAACATCATGCAGAAACTTTAGTCTTTTCTTAACAAGACAGTGGGAGCTGGAGCCTCCTTGAACAGACATTTTACAGAATCTGACTTAGTTCTAAAGGAGCAGACACTGGTCCATGTCCTGGCTCTCTCCTGCCATCTATTGGACATTTATAAAACTATCAAGTTGAAAATATCCTGGTTATTTGGTTGTGTGGACGGTCTGGGCCCAGATAATCCTTCCTTTGGGTCCAGATCCAGACCGCAGTCCACCATTTGGGGATACGTAATCTAGATTGTTGAATCTTGAGAAAACAAAGTTGCTATGTAGTAAAACATGCTTCCAGCCAAAACCCCAAAGTTTCTAAAGTCTGGCTAATAAATCAGGATGAACCTTTAGTTTAAAACGTTAAAGGCAGTGTTTAAATACTATATTTGTCATGTTTTTTTACATAGATTTTGGATAAATTGCCTTAGGGTGCTGGTGGATTTTACTGCAGTATTGGCCATGTGGTGCTGGGGCTCGGTTTGATATCAAAAGGAGGATTTCTGTTGACGACTTCAGATGATTTGATGCAAAGACCTGAGTCTCCAGCTGGTTTTGTTTTTCAAGAAAAACGAGGTGAGTGTCTTCACCGACTAATTTAATTTGATGAGTCTATATGAATTGGTTAGATATTTATGTGTGTGACCTCTGTATTTAAACACAAAGTGCCTGAAATTGCCTTTGGATATAACATGTTTTAGACTTTAGGGCTGAACAGAAATGTTAAAATGTTGAACTTGGTTCTGTGTTTATTAAAGAAAAGAATTTCACCATGTTAAAGTCTGTGACTCCTTGGAAGACTGCTGTTCCTTTTAATTAAACTCCCAGAGAGTAATCTTTGGATGTGCACCTATCACCGAATCATTTGCATTTACTCCAATTCAAAATGGCCRCCACAGTTAGTCACCATTAGCCAACAGAAACATGGCTTTAACCCAGTCAGTATTGCAGACATAGAGCTAAAACTTGGTGTGGTGGTGCGGGAATTATCCACAACTCATGTTTTGACTGTTTGCAAAATTTCTCCTGAATCAATGGATAGAGTTTAACGAAACTCTCAAAAACAACATACTATCATCTCGAGTCAACCCGACTCCAGATGGCTTACATCTATTTGATCCTAGCCAGCACAGGAAAGGCCAGAAGCAGTCCATTTCACTGAGTAAATTACAACATGGTAGTAGCTGAGAGTCATCCACAACATGTGTTGTGAGCACTAACGCAAAATTGTCATTAATTAATTTACAATTTGACCAGAACTTTTATAATGTCCTTTAGTTTCAGCATAAGATGACTTTAGTTAGAAACTGTAACATGAAAGGCACACACAAACACTCACATCTGGTTTTTGGTCAGTAGCCTGAATTTACAGGCACCTGTGTGTTTTCCCAGCCCTTCGTGGGCACAAAGTCAGCTGGCAGATTAAAAGTTAGTCCACTGCCTTCAAGGTGAGTACGGAGCACATTCAATGTGTTTCCTTCATTTCATTTAAACAGCAACTTTTTGATAAAACTTCTGTTGTTCTTCAGATGACGCTGAGACAGTCTTTGAGTCTCTTCGCTTTTGTTGTCGGCACATTACACGGTGAGCAGAAGCAGAAGTGAAACATTTCCGATTAATTAATTTGATGAATTGAAATCTGGTCTACTTTTATTTACTCTTCCTACTTTCCTCCAACTTGTACTTTGTATCTACCAACAGATACGACATGAGCTGTTACAGTCGTGGTCAGATGTTTAAATACAGACATCATGGACTTTGTTGTCATATCACTGTTGCTTTGGGCTCTTTTTCCAGAGATTAGACAGCACACAGTTTTAAAATGTGGACTGTRCCTAAAAATCTGTGCCAGGGTGACCACTTTAAATCACTTTAAATTGTATATGTATATTTATGACCTTGTGTGGATTAGAGAAAATAATAAAGGTGTGTCTCATGTCTTGTTTAATTGTCAGTGGAGGAAGATTTTGACGCAGTTTAAAAGGCACTGTGAGTTAAAATGAGCTCATATGAAACTGTAAAAGCATGATTGCCTTGTGTTGAACGTCTTGTAAACAAAGTTGGGTTGACTCAGTGAACTCTCCACCTTACCAGCCGCTGAGATCTGCTTCGATGAGCTGGGCTGCTTCAGTGACCTTCCACCTTGGGGAGGCACGCCTCAGAGACCAGTGGGGGCTTTGCCGTGGCACCCTGAGGAGATCGGTACCCGCTTCCTCCTCTTTACCCAGCAGAACCGCTACTACCAGGTAAAGAAAATAATCAGTGGTTGTTTGCTTGGGAACAACTTGTGCTCAGTTGGAAGAAATGATCTGTACACTGCCTTACTTTAGTCTGTGTGGATTTGTGTTTATAGAGTAAGTGACTGTCAATAACCACATTATAGTATTTGTTTTCTTCGTGTATTAGATCTGTAGCTCTTTAGAAGTATTAAACTTTGTCTGAGTGCTTTTCAGGTAAAAAGGCCAAAGAGGTTTGGTCTTTAGCACTTGGACAGTAAAAGAACCATAGGCTTATTTCATGACAACCATTTTGTATTAAATAAGCAGGAAAACCCAAACAATGGCAGCCTAAACTCTACTTTCCCTCAAAAAGTACTCCAGGTCTTAGTAGAAATAACTGTGCAATGTTTCTACTTGAACATTTGTATTTATTTTCACACTTGAACTTGATAGACATGAACAATTGTAAGGCATCAGTTTCTCTATAAGTCCTGACTCAGCTCGCCTCATCGACACTATTAGTAAATGTAACATGACTCTTATTGGCTGTTCTCATTGTTCATATTGTATCCAATTTTATTAATGACACACACGTTTGTACTTCTACCCTTATTTTTCCTAACACTAACCTAACCCTAAACTTATTTCCAGTAATTACTAACACTAACCCTAACCCTAAGCCACCAATGGCGTTCCACCAAATCAGGACCAGTCTTTGGTCTCCAAAAGGACTACTGCTCCTGAAAAGGTAGGTATTTATACAATAAATGGTCTTTAAAACCAAGTGTACACACAAACACACACTTGTACAATAACAACTTAGAACACATGAGTAGACATATTACTAACATAGACCAGGTTTACCACTGACTTAATGTCCATCATCATAACATTTAGCAGCAGGTATACTGATAAGCCTGATTTCCTGGAAACTGAGTAGTTTCCATTAAAAGTTGGGCCTTTTCACAATACATCCTGTGTTTGATAATGGTATTTTTTTTAACTTGCTCATATTTAGATATCCTTTTACTTCAATGTAACTAACATTTACGTCTGATGTGGAAAACAGACTCCAAATATCTGCAGACTCCGAAGTAAAAGGCTTTTTAGACAAATTTAATTTTTTTAATTTGAAAAGTTAATTTTGGCTGATCCTGGAAAGAAAAAAGCATTTTGAAGGATTTAATTACTGTTGATTTGTATTGAATTTATCAGGAGATCAACGCTAATGAAACCATTGATGCGTCCAACTATGGTGGGAAGAGGAAGACTCGCTTTGTCGTTCCTGGGTATTTGGACAAACAAGATGAAGACTGGTCACAGAGCATGTGTAAGGTAAGAGGACACTCACACACACACACACACACACACACACACACCTGTTACATCTCTCTATCCTTGTGGGGACTTTCCATTGACTTCCATTCATTTTTTGGAAATTTAATGTCCCAACCCTGACCATTTGCCCTAAAATTAACCCCACAGCCTTTAAAATTTGCATAATCTGCTTTGATGAAATTACAATTTCCATTAATACAGTAAATTTTGTTTTCAAATACAAAATTTAACACATCAAAACCCTAAAATAAAATGAAAGAAAACCAAAATATGACAACAAGGACTCACTTGGTGCCATTTTAATGCTTATTTCTCTTTTATTTTTTAAATGTGTTTAATTTCAGTCTGTCTGATATTTAATACTAACTGTATTGTCACTCATTGTATTGTGTTTTAAATGGTTGTAAATAAATTTAAATTCAAACCATCTTGCAGGAGATTCTAAAGAGAACTACTGAGTTCAGGCTTTCCCCCTGATCTGCAGCCTGTGTATTGGTGGGTTTTTCCTTCTGTGGGCTGCAGGCTATGGTGCAGAAGGAGAACGTGAACTGCGTTGTAGCTGAGTGGAAAAAAGGAGCGAAGACTCRTTACACTCAGGCAGCCAATAACGCCAGGGTGGTCGCTGCCCAGGTGGCATCCATGATCACATTCCTCATGGTAAATACAGCTGCTCACCTTCTACATAATAACACACTCCTTCTGACACTTCTTCACTTCTTCTTCTGAGTCAAAAAAACAAACAAAAAAAAGGGAAAAAGTAGAAAGTCGTTTCTCCCATTTGGGCCTGTATTAAATGTACCTTTCTGGCCAATTTTATTGTGTTTACGGGTCGATAACATGTTGCGTCAAGCAGGACCACTTCACACAGACCACTGATAAGTTCCACATTATCGGGCACAGCCTGGGCGCTCACATTGCTGGGGATGCTGGGAGCAGAATCCCCGGTCTGGCAAGGATCTCAGGTGAATGTCACGCAGTGTTTACAGTTTATGTTTCCGATAAATCTTTTGTCTTTCCAAACAAAAGTATTAAAATAATTACATTTTGTATTTTTTCATTTTATTTACTACATTATGCTGTATGTCTGCCTGTAGGCCTGGACCCAACTGAACCATACTTCCAAGGCACCGATGCTTTTATGCATCTTGACACCAGTGATGCAATTTTTGTTGACGTCATCCACACAGATGGACTTCCTTTTGACCCCAAACTTGGTGCCAATAATCACATCTATTTATATGTTTATGTCTCAGCGTATATTTTAACAGTGGTGTGGTTTTTGTCAGGTTTGGGAATGACAGAGTCTGTGGGTCACATTGATTTTTACCCAAACGGAGGAGAACTGATGCCCGGCTGCTCGGCCAACAAAGGAAATCCATCTGACCTCGACTCCATCTGGGAGGGTGAGATTGACTCACCTGTTCGTACATGTTGATTGGTTGTTGAACAAGAGCTTGTGCCACGAGATCTCACAAGATTAAAATGTCACAAAATGTGTACTAAACATACCTCCACCACTTTATAGTTTGGTGGCAGCAGTTCAGACAGAAATGGTCCACACAACTCTGAAGCTGAGAAAAATTCAGTTTGACCATCTCATTTATTCGTTTGAGAAGAAAAAGAGTCAACCAAACTCTGAGTCATGATGGAGTATATCGTTCACTGAGTCATGTCCTTGGTACCTGTTCATGCCCTAGGATTTTTGTGAATACATTTTTGCTGCCATGCTAGCCTTTTGTTTTTTATTAAACAAAGCCTTGTTTTACAACTACTCAGGACCAAAAATCCTTGTCTGCACCTGGGGTTCAAACCTTTCAAGCAATTCTTTACACCCGTGTCACCTTTTCATTAGGAATCTGTACAAAAAAAAGATTTAAAAGAGGACAAAAAAGTATTTTATTTTGTATAAATCCATCCTTTTCTTTACCCCCTTTTCCTTTCCTGGTCATGTGTATCTCCAGCAGTTACAGCAGCAAGAGGTGGGGAACAACCTGATCATTTTGGACGTCCATCACATGGCCACAGAGAAACAAAGAAGACAACTATTCACGCTCTCCCTCCACAGCTAGGGACAATTTACCAATTAGCCTAGCATGCATGTTTTTGRTCTGTGGAAAGCACCTGAAGTGCCTGGAGAAAAAGCACACATGCACAGGAAAGACATGCAAGCTCCACACAGGAAGTGACGAGACAGTCTAGTACTTTGACAGAAGTAAAATGGATATTATTGTATGAATGTTTTGATATATCTGGTAAAACAGGACAAATTGATTTATGATTTATGATCAACATATTGAAAAACATAGCTGGCTCTTGATCAGGTTTTGAGTTTTGGTCCATCGGCGTGAATGAGTTTGACGTCCCAAGTTTGAACATCATGAGAAGATWTATAGTTGAGGTACATTCTAAAGTCTGAAAAGACTCTGTCTCATTCTCATGGACGCAGTATCTCTTGTCTTTTAAATGTCCCATTACATCACAATTGATCACAATAATCAATCTGATTTAATTAATTTTGTTTTGTTCTCGTTCAGTGCTTCACTTTTGGTCCTGTAGCTTTTCCTTTTTTAGGTACTGGGTTTAAAAAATGATTTGATGTGTTGGTGACTCTATTCCCACTTAGTTAAAGCTAAAAAGTGAACAACTGAAGCATCTTGTCACCTGTTTTTTGATTTTCTCAACAGTGGGGTTAAGGTTTTTTATTAAAGAACGAAAGGAAATCGACTGAGGAACATGATGTGACCTTTGACTGCTTCATATATCAAGCTGACATGTGGCTCCATCACAGTCATTGCTGCCATACATAACACAATGACTCATACGTGCTATTTTCTCCAACCATGCGACTTAATGCAGAGTGAGTGGCATGTGGAATATTGGAGTTGTCCCAGTGGAAAAAAAAAAAACATAAAGAAACTCCCGGGGCCGAGATCGCCTGGGCGGACCTATCTGAGCGGAGATTTTTTTAAAAACTGGAACAGCGGCGTCCCTTCTGTGAAATGTGCTGCTGAGTTGTGTGGATCAAGTGGCAACACTGGTGCCATGCTGGGGGTCCGGACGGGAGGAGGGATGGAGTGTTGTCACAGCTGAATCTGACACTTTTGATCTGACAGATAAGAGAGGGGAGAAAGGGAGGCAGGGCTGCATAGCTGCAGGTCCTGGAGTGCCTCCTGCAGTTGAAGAGAAAAAAGAAAGCAGTCACAGGATCAGACTTTTACTYCGATTTCTACCAAGACTCAACTGACGGATCTAATTTTTGGAGCAAATAAAATCCAATCATTTGCGTAAAGAAGACCATCTCAAAGTATTTTGTAAATCTGTCCTGAGAAAATAAATTTAAATCGGTGTTTCTAGAAAAAAAGTGTAAAACAATTTAGAAGTGCTGAACTTTTAATTTAACCAGACAAATCCCATTGAGAGATTTGTTTTGCAAGGGAGGCCTGGGCCTGAAGGCAGACTAGCATCATGTTTTTGGCCTGTGGGAGGAAACCGGGGTACCCGGAGAAAACCCACACAAACACGTGGAGAACAGGCAAACTCTGCACCACTTGCTGTGAGGCAGTAGGGCTAACCACTGATCCATCGTGCTGCCAAAAAGTAGTAGTGTCACGATCCAGGGTTGTTTATTATTACAAGTTGCTTATATTTATTTTATTTAGGGTGTTTTCTTCCCTTTGTTGCACCATTAACATCTTTGTGACCTGTAAACCTACAAATTATATGCACTGCACCTCTAAGTAAGCATTGTTTAATTTCACTGTTGATGACAGTGAGAGTGAAGTACAGTGTGGAAGAAGAAGGACTCACAGATTGTGTCAAACTCATTGTATTTAAATTAGTGTGTAGTTAAAGTGTGTAGAAAAACACATCAGTCATGACCAAAATCTTTGTCAGTGACAGAAATATGTGTAGCTGTGGCATTGTTTTCAGTTTTGGGAAGAAAATCTACTGTAATTCTTAACCTTTATCGTGACCTTTTTTGTGGTCTTAGTATTGTCTGATCTCTTTTCAGGATCCAAAAAATTTGATGCATGCAACCATGTCAGAGCCTATGCGTACTACATTGAAAGCATCAGTAAACCCCAAGGCTTTGTTGGATTCTCCTGCTCTGATAAGGACAGCTTTTCTGCTGTAAGTTTAACCTAATACTGCCATTTGTTTCATTTACAAATTTAAAAAAAGACCCCCAAAAAAAAAAAAAAAAAAAAAAAAAAAAAAAAAAAAAAAAAAAAAAAAAAGAGAACCCATCAAAAGTGAAGGATTTTGTTTTGTTTTATCCCAGGTGGGAGTCAAGCCTGCAGGTAAAGGGGAATTGTTTTCTGTTTTAAATGGGATCATATGAAGTTGTTTTGAACAGTCAGTGTTTTACCTGCAGTAGACAGCAGCTGRAACAAAAAATACAATGAAAAATTAAGCTAATAACCATTAAAAGCAAGAAATAATTCAAGTTTTAAATATAATGACAGCATTTTATTGTTGCAGCCATAAATATGTCTTTAGTTTGTATTAAAACATTTTGGACCACACTAATTTAGGTAATTGCTTGAAAAATGAATAATAGAATAATTAAAGAATAAAACATTATAATAATAATAAAATGTAATAATAACAACAATAATAATAATAATAATAATAATAACTAAAATGCTAAAAAAATCTTTGCTAACAAATCAGCAACAGAAAACATTACATACAGGTAAAACGCATTATGTATGTGTCAATCAAAAAGAAAAAAAGAAAAAAAAAAGAAAAAATTTGTATAGGTCTTCTGGACGGGTTCTTCTCTAATGAAACGTTTCGTCTCTCCTCCAAGAGACTTCTTCAGTCTGAGAGTTTCAGGCAAAATTCAGGCTTTTAAGCCCTGCCTCCATGTGACTGATACTCACATCACATGGCTATCGTTGACACTTAATTAACACCTATTGTTAACAGTGGGTGGAGTGATACTGACAATAGCAGCACTGTAGGAGGGGGACAACTGAAAACGGAGGCCTCCACCTCTGTTTAATGATGGACGGTCTTTCTTCACAAAAACTTCACAAACTTTTTGTGAAGAAAGACCGTCCATCATTTAACAGAGGTGGAGGCCTCCGTTTTCAGTTGTCTCTCTCCTACAGTGCTGCTATTGTCAGTATCACTCCACCCACTGTTAACAATAGAAACAATAGATGTTAATTAGGTGTCAACGATAGCCATGTGATGTGAGTATCAGTCACATGGAGGCAGGGCTTAAAAGCCTGAATTTTGCCTGAAACTCTCAGACTGAAGAAGTCTCTTGGAGGAGAGACGAAACGTTTCATTAGAGAAGAACCYGTCCAGAGGACCTATACAAATTTTCTTTTTGATTTTTTACCTGGATTACTGAGATGCATCAGGATGTATGTGTCAATGAATTGCATACTGTATCATTGATGAATCAATATATTTATCCACTCCTAGTATTGGGCAACATTAGGTGAGCAGTATAATAGATGACTGTAGTTTGTTAGAAACATTATGGTATAATATCCCTGACAAGAACTTGGGTCTGGTTAAATGCTAGAACGGGACTAGATTTGTCCATGAAAACAGGCTCCAGAAAGTCTTTGATGCCCACAAAGCTACCAATGAGAGAAGATCAGGACGGCGTCTCATGTCCTCAGTTTTAAAAGTCAACCAGGACTAACAGATAGGCTCGGACAAAAGAGGGGCTCAACTGAGAAAGGACCCACATCTTCAACCTCCCAGCGTGCACATGGGACCAACACCTGTTGCTGCTGAATGACACCGATATGGCAAAACATGTCTTTGGTTTAAGGAGATAATTCAGCGAGATTGTTTTTTTTTTCTTTTTTTTATTTTTTGTGGCACATGGGGGCGATGGAAATGGGCTTCCCTCATGTCTTCCATGGGGCGTGCTTGTATCTGCAGCTGTTGGTGTTAATGGCAGTTGATCCCTGCTTTGGACACATGTCCCGATCAAAGGAGGCCCGAGGAGTGCCAAGAATGACCTCATAKGTCCCTGTTGAGGATGACAGCGCCTCCTTGTCATTCACCTCATAAACACTGCCTGCAGTTATTCCTACAGCTATTCCCATGGCCTGCAGCGAGGCTGTTTCCACTGAGGAACTCCGTGGTTAAACTAACACTATTTCCTGCCTTCATGTTTATAAGGTAGCAAWGTGCAACAGTTTGAAAGAGTCTTGCATTGTGTTATCACCTTGACCGTGCATGGGCAGGACAAGATTGACATTCTGTCACGTGGTGAAATCACTCCTCACACAATTCTGTGTCCTTGTCTTCACAGGGAAAGTGTTTCCCATGTGCTGAGAGCCGATGTCCTCTGATGGGACACTCTGCTGACAGCTTCGATTTGAGTGAGGGCGTTTTAAATACAAAGTACTTCCTCAACACTGGCAGGTCAAAGCCATTTGCCCGTAAGTACTCTGTTCTCCCTTTCCTGGAAAAAGCATAAGAGTGAAACACACACACATATGACTACTCGCTGGTTTGATTTCACTGTGGGGAACAAGGGCAGAGAAAGATATGTTTATTATAGTTTATGGTGCTGAAGCTGTTGAATGTATCAGTCCATCCAATCAGTCAGTCCAAAGGTTTACTCAATTTCCAATACACTCAGCAGCGTCATCACCACTGGTGTTGCACACAGGGACAGACTTAACAACTGGTGTCATATACAAATTTAGAAGTTTAATATTAGCTACTAGTGTGACGGCCCGGAATGTCCCTCACTTTATTAAAGTAAATAAAACTCCCTGTCCTCATTTCTAAAAAAAAAATAAAATAAAAATGAAAAACATTAGTGTTTCTGTACTATGTTAATGATGATATTATGATTTTTAAAACCACTTCTGAAATAAATTTCACGTAATTAACGTCATCTCTAATTAGTAACGCCAAGCACCTGCGTTCAGAGCAGTCGTATCTCTTTAAAAATGCCCCACCTCAATCATTTTGTGTGTGCTCACCTGTCCGACGAGGCAGAGTTCCATAGCGCTGGTCCCAAGAAGTGTTTGTGAGTTCAATCTGACCCAAAAAGGAGAAGGAAAAGCAAATGAAGTGTGCAAAAATCCTTTGTGTAAGCATCCTCATGGAGTAAGTGCCGAAAAACTTAAAAATTCAATTTTTTACACTGGCTTTTAATTCAAATTCAGTTTGAGCTACCTCAGGAATTTGTAATTTGTGTCTTTTATTTGTTTTTAGCTTATTGTATGTTTTACTGTATTGTGTCTGTGAAGCACTTTGGTCAATGCAGCACTCGTTATGAAAAATTCAGCACGTGGCTCATCTGCTTCGTTATGGTGAATTCAGAATGTGGCTCTTCTGCACTCGTGATGGCAAATTCAGCACTAGGTGAATTCAAAACTCATTATGGCGAATTCAGGACTTGGCACTTCTGCAGTCCTTATGGCAAATTCAGCATGTGGCTCTTCAGCACTTGAGATGGCGAATTCAGCACTCGTTATGTTGAATTCAGCATTCCGCGAATTCAGCATTTGGCGAATTCAGCACTCGTTATGGCGAATTCAGCACTCGTTATGGCGAATTCAGCACGTGGCTCTTCTGCTTCGTTTTGGTGACTTCGTTAGGTTACATTGCTTTTTATTGTTTGGTCATCTTGTGCCTTATTTTCTCATTTCCTGTGTCATGTCTTCATTCCCACCGTTGGATTATTGCTCTTATCACGYCTTAAGCCTTGTCAGTGTGCATTACACTATTGTGATTCATTTCCCATCCAAGTCATCTGCATTTTGGCACGCTTCTCCTCCTGAATACTTTGTCCTAGAGCTGCCATTGTAATTTATATCTGTAAAGCTCCTGTGCCAAATGTTGGCTATGCCTTTTGGTGCCTTCACAACTTATAGTTGATGTTTTACTTTAATATTGTCCCAATGTTCCTCTATTGCTGTAATATATTGCAGTTTAGTGTCAAAGATTACATTGGCAATGTGGCCACTTTCTGCACACATACAAACCAACCCCTGGCAATGCCTTCTACCACAGCTCATATGGTCTCATCGTGAACACCACGAGCTTTCATGTGGGAGATCAGGGTTCAAATCCAGCTATATACAAACAATTTCTTTAAAACTGCATATTTTCAGATTGTTATATAGTCACATAAATACCCTAATTACAAACACCTGCTGACTTGACAGGCACAAGCTGGTATAGAAAACCCATTTGAACTTGRTCACAGTTCATTCTGCAAGTCCACTGCTGCAGGCAAAGGCATGCTGCAATGACATGCTACATGGCAATGCACACTTGTTTTTACATCGTAAAAACCCATGTCTAGTTCTTGTTATTTTTTGTAAGTTCTATGCTGCCATGTCAGCCTTCTTTTGTTATTTAATAAATCAGTTTTGTTTTGCACTCAAGTCATTGAGTCTGCCTGCACTTTGGGTTCAAACCACCTATTGTTATAGTAGCAGTAGCAGCAGTAGCAACTGTAGCTCAAGGTGTTTTCCGAATAACCTTGAAGGAATTCAAAAATGCAGCTCTATTTAAATCAGGCATTAAGCTCCTAAAATAATACGACAGTTTAATATGTTTGTCTGTAAGCAGGTTAAGYTGAGCTTTTTTATATACAAATGGCATGCTGTCATTACATGCACCCCAGTGTTTGATTTAATGTACTGGAGTTTACTTCTGAAAATGTCTGTCTCATCACGGTATCATGGAAATAGTAATTTAAAATGAATATCTGACCAAAATGGAGCCTCGGAGTGCAGAAGTGTATGCAGGGTAATAATGCATGCACCACTACATGCATATAGGGTTGGTGCAAAGTAGTAACCCATATGATACTGTCTAGGTACAAAATGACATTTACTGGGTATGAAATGGGAGTATGATCTGGTAAAGGTACAATTTGACCAGCACCCCACAAACTAGGCAAAGGTATGAAAAACAGCAACTAAAGTATGTTTGCATCAAAGTGTCCGATTTACATTTATTCACAAGCCAAACATCTACAGTTTATGCTGCTGACAGTAAGAAAATATATGATTGGATGTTTTTGTGTTTCCAGGCTACAGCTACCAAGCAAAAGTGACCCTGGATGGTCCCAGCTGGCCCAACCTCGGCTTGATGTTCGTGGCTCTTGCAGGGAAAAAAGAAACCACCAAAGAGTTCCAGCTGCATGTGTAAGCACAAGGGCTGTACAGTAGCAAGAATTTGATGATTCAATTTTTTTTTTCAATTTTCAATTCAAAGAGCTGAGAACAAAAACCAGCAGAACTGAGAGTTGCTTCATCCTTCAGTTGTTAATCTACTGCAGCAGTGTCCAAATCTGGATTACTGCATGTTTCAGGTGTTTCTCTGCTCCAGCACATGTGATTTGATTAACAAGCTTCTTCATTACTTGAAKATATGCCAAAGAGGCAATTCAACCACAGAGTCAGGTGTGTGGGAACAACTAAAACCTGCACGGTAGTGGTCCTCAAGGACTAGGATTGGTCATCACTGATCTACAGTAGGCCAGGTTTTAAAGTAATAGCTCCTATTGGCTATTTGGAAATGATTTAGTTGGTGCAAAAATATTTTTGAAATATCCATCTTTGGTAGTTTTTTTATGTTAGTTTTGAACACGAAGCAAAAATAAAGGGGACTTTGGCCAACTGACTAATTGTGATCATTTGATCACGTTTACATAAAGGAGATTTTCTGTTAACCTTCAACCTGCGCTGAGAAAACAAACTCACAAATATAGATCTGATTATTTTTTCCAGCATTAGTTTGAGTTGTTACTTTTCCGATTGGGAACACTGCAGTGTTTCTTTTGGTTTTCTTCTGAAATACAAAGTTTAGTGTGTGGGATACAGTGACATCTTGTGGTCCAAACTTCAACCAACTGAATGCAGCTGGGTCATGTTTATGCACAAGATTAAAACTGTTATTGGTGGCACATTGGATCATAACGTATAATTATTTACACTATAATTACTGCTAACATTCTAAGCCAGAATGATTAATCTAGATTAAGGCAGGCAGCAATAAAATAGCTCATGTTATTCTGTCGTTGCATTTTCTGTAGGGGTACGCTGATTTCTGGGAGAGTGTATGATCTGATGATTGATGCTGAGGTGGATGTGGGCGAAGTGATGGAGGTGAAGTTCAGGTGGAACAACCACATCATCAATCCACTGAATCCTAAATACGGTGCATCGAAGGTGGAGCTGCAGAGAGGAAAAGACAAACAAATGTAAGTTTGTCTTTTCAGGACTTTGTCCTATTCTGTCCCACGATTCTCTAAAGGCTTTGATCCACAGGACTAAATTAACTAGTTTTGTTTAAAAAAAATACACAAAATGGTTACATAACTGCACTGCAATCGTATTTTTACTGACGTCCATGGGTCTGAACTGCTTCTTGTCTGTTTGAGTTGAACATTAGTGATGAGTGTTGTAGAGAGAAACAAAGAAAACTGAGCAAATGGTACCCTGCAAGAAAACATATGTACAACATAAATTATCACACTTGTAAGGTTTAGTGTCACCTCACCCTTTGTTCAAACCTTTACTCCGGTCATTCGAAGTAGCTGCCATGTTTTTCCTCTGCCTGTGTAAGTTTTCTAAAGGTTAACTTCTAAATTGCTTTCAGAAATAACAATATCCATCCCATTTTTGTAAGCCAGAATTATATTTTGTGATATCCATGTTAACATTCATGGCAAATATTACATTTAGGACATGGAATCTCTCCACTGAGTTCTGGGTCTGTCCTGGATTCTCCTTCCAGAAGTACATGTTTAGAAAACCTCCAAAGGGAGGTGTCCCAATCAGGTGCTTATTCCAAGCTCCCCCCGGATGATGGAGCTCCTCTCCTGTCTCTAAGGCTGAACCCAGCCACTCTGACAAGGAAACCTTTTTCAGCAGCACATATCCTGGATCTCATCCTTTTGGTCATGGTTCAAACCTCATAAACATGGGTTAGGGTTGAAACTTAGATGAGTAAATTGAGAGCTTTACCTTTTGACTGATCTTCTACACAAGGGRCTGAAGAAATGCCCTCATCACTGATGACGAAGCAGAAATTCATTGATCTAGCTCCCACTTCCTCCTGCCATCACTTGTGAACAAGACTCCCAGATACTCCTGTGTCCTAGAGGGAGCATTGCATCTTCTCACACTTACATGTCGGACTAAGAGCAATTCATAAACCTCAGGGAATAAACATCAAACTTGTCAGAATACATCGCATTAAGGTGAGATGCGGAGTGGGCTGAGCGGCAGGCCTCATAGTTTGTTATATATTTTTACAATTCTTCAAAGCAACCCTGTTCCTCATGACCCGCTGCCCTGCATGTGTTAGCTGTTTAGCTGCTTCAACACATCTAATTCAAACAACGAAATAACCTGCTCAGAATGTCACCAAGTTTAGCAGCCTGTCAATCACTCATTCATTTCAGTCAGGTGTGTTGAAGCAAGAAAACAGCTAAAACATGCAGGACAGTGGGTCACGAGGATCAAGACCTCTTAAGACCTATGTATTACAGATATACATAAACATGAATTCTTTTTAAATAAAGTGTTTCAGACTTCTCACACATGGTTCTTCCTCAGGCAAATTATGTCTTTTTTTCCCCTTTTCATGTGCCTCAGCTCTCAGAGTGGATATCTGGAGCTGAATTTCCAGCTTTGAGTGATCAATCGCATTAAAACGATACTAAAATTCAATCTGACTACTAAATGTTTTCTTAATTTTCCAAGTAAAGTTGCAAATACATATCCTAGTGGTTTATTTTTTATACTAAACTACAGAATATGACAAAAGTTATATATATATATATATATATATTTGCAGGTGAAGCTTTTATGCGATGAATGAAAAAAAGGGTTTTATTAGAATAGAAGTGTGCAAATAAAATAAATAATAGCTTTATGAATTCTTTCATCAAAGGGATGAAGTTGATTTGGGTTTGAGGTGTGTGTTTGAGTGCTGCTAACGAAGACCTTGGATTTGTACAGTAATCACAGAGCAGAGGCAAAAATATGAGAAGTGATAAAAAGAGTTTTAATATTTCCAGCTGATCCAGTGCAGCGGGACATGGCTGAGGTTTGAACACTGGAGGGCAGCATGGTAGGAGCTGGGTGTGATGCTGGATTTGTCTCTGTGCTAATTTTATAAACTCCTTTTTTGATCAATTAGAAAAAACACTATAGTGACCATGGACATGTTTCTGTTTCTGAGAGACATTATCGAGCTCATTATTAGACATAATTTAATTTATGTCTGGTTGGCAGCAACAGCATTGCACAAATGACTGCATCATAACAGCCTCTGGCTCTTTCTCTGCTTTCCTTTTCTCTCCCTGTCYACTGACAGAACCCTGTTCTGCGGACGAGAAAACGTGGCTGAGAACAAGATCCAGTCTGTGCTCCCGTGTGACGTTTAAGCGGCCAGAGTCAACACACCCTTCTGGATATTTCAGTAAAGATTTTGTGTCAAATCTTTCCAGTCTCTTCGTTTCATCATTTTTGGTTTAGTTTACGTGTAAAGCATCAATTCACAACAAAAGTCATCTCTGGGCACGAGACAAAGTAAGTCTATTTATATCAAATGACAAACAGTCTAATTCAGTCTAAAACAGATCTACATCTAAATCAAAATACAGTCAATTCAACCCAATTCAAACACATACAATCACATTCTGTACATTTTATATGGCAATAGGTTAAAAGTTGTCCCTGTTTAAAACCAGCAGAAAGGCTCAAATTGTCACTTCAATGCAAATCCCAATTTGGAGCAACACTGAGGCGACAGTGGAAAGGAATGACTCCCTTTTAACCTACAGCAGGACCGGTGTAAAACCCTAGGTATACCCGGGACAGTTTACCAGAAGGTATAAACTGGTTTCATAAAGTAGGAGCCTGATAACTGAAATCTCTGCCTCCTATACACTTTTAGAAAGTCTAGGAACCACAAGTAACCACAGTCTGAGAGTGAAGTGCTTTGTTAGGATAATTATGGAACAATAAGATATTTAACATAAGCTGGAGCTTGGTTGTTGAGAGGTTTTGTATGTTAGAAGTAACATAACCGATAGGCTTGACCTAATCTGATCAGACCCTAAGCTCATGGCCATCCACCACAATAAAGCACACCCGCTACCCAACAGCAAAGCATTATGGGTCACCCACATAACACAGCACCACGAAAGAGAGTGCTACCACAGTTAGACTCATGGGCAAAACCGCCATGGGTACCGGGTGGGACAGGTCCCCCCCACTTCCACTATCTGTGCCCTCTGTCCCCCACTTTTTTCAGCCGAAGCAGAAAAAAAATGACCTTTAACACCCCCCCCCCCCACACACACACACACACACACACTTTCAAGATGGTGACTATGACCTTGGTTAGACTGGTCCCCACAACTGATGGACCAATAATTCCAAAATATACATCCAAACAAGAAAAGAATAACAGGCCTAACCTCAGTGAATGGTAAATAGTCTCTAGAAGTAATTCTTCTAAATAATCTAAACATTTCTTTTGATTAGATTAATCCCACTGTAAACATCAGACCACCAGACCACACCCCCAACTATTCCTGACGCCTCCTATAACATCACCCTCCTCTGTCTATTCCTCCCTTCTCTGAACTCTTCTCCCTCTCCATGAAGCACAGCACATGACAAACACTCAATGTACTGGCTGCGTTCTACTCAAACAGTATGCCTACGCTCACCGGACTATGCCAGCCATATTCCCACTGCATCTTACAGCACGAAAAATCAATAGGCCGTCTTCAACTGGAACAGTCAACTCCACCATGCACTTCCCATAACTATAGGACCCAGTGGCCCAGGACTGGACCTGATATTGAACAAGCGTGCCCTTCCTAAGGGACTTACCAATGCTGCGGAGGCATCCCTCTGAGTGAATATTCGCCTAACGTAACCCTAACCTAAACTCAACTAAACCTTGGTGAGATTTTAAATTCTGGTCTGAAACAAGAAATAATTAAGAGGCTGAGTGAGTGGCCTTGTCTTAGTTTTGTTTAAAACAACACAGGTGGAGAAGTGGCATGACCCAAAATACATATATTCATTCTGCAGCGGAACAAAGATTCACATGAATTCATACAAATACTAATGGAATTTTTATTTTTCATTTTTAAGAACATTGCTGAAATATTGAGAAAAACGTTGTTTCAGGACTGAACCCAAGGGAACGAATCCTGTTCGGCTCATAAGCCCAAATGTACAGTATTTGTTGTTTAGTTTATTACTGCGGTCAAAGATTTTTGTTGAACTTTTATTGGCTCAAATACAAAATAATAATTATTTTCATCAGTTTTAAATTATATTATATTAGAACAATTATATTTCAATCATTTTTCCTTTATTGTTAAAATATTTTTATTTTTTCTAAACTATTTGGTTTTTGTTTCTGAATTTTTTTGTTTTTTGTTGTTCTGGTTTTATTTTATTCTCCGCATTTTAACTTGAAACGTGAAACAAACAAAATCTTCATCCTCTTTTGTTTTGGTTCTTGTTCTGAGTGTCTTCAATACTCTTTCGTACATTACTGCATGTTTTAGTTTTTTTTTTTGTTTGTTTTTGTTTTTGCTGGGGGAATCTGGGCTGTCAACTAAAAAGGCTCCACAAAAGCAGCAACTTGATCATACTTTTCCTCTCCCCAGACGTTAACTTGTCTTTCTCTTCCTTTACAAATCGGCTCCTCACTGCCGAGGCCTGTCAGGACAAAGAGAGGGAAAATATTAGCCTCATTAGTGTTGAAAGACATCAGGTCCCATTTGTGCGCACACAAATCAACTGCAAATTACATGGTGAGGTCTCTGCTTTCATTTGGCTACCAAATGGCTCTGGACAAACTCTCGTGTAATGCGTTACTTATATTTGTAATTCCAAAAGTCTTCTGTGCACACACGTGTGTATGTGTGTGCGGGCATCTTGAAAGCACTCATTAATCTGCCTGTGGCCTTTTGCCGGCTTATGAAGTCCTGATTGTGTGTCATTGTTTTGGCTTCATTTATTTGAACACCAACCCCATAATCACGCTTGCAAATACACGGCTTTCAAAAAAAAAAAAAAGGCGAGCTGCCATTTTCATCAGGGCACTGACAAAGTGCATTTGAAATCACTCTGACTTCCTCTGAGCTGAGCCATCAGYCCTTACACAATACCAATCAGACTGAAAAACTCTCAGCTTCAAAGCTTCAAGCTTGACTACATTAATAATATTAATAAAACTGCAAATTGAATGTGTGGGCTAAGAGGTGGTGGCGGTGGTGGGGGGATGTCTTGAAATCCCTCCAAGACATCCGTCTTTGTCCATAGCTCTTGTTTCTCTTTTCATTATTGACTCATTGAAAGTGAARGCTAACGACAAAATAGCGCGCTAATTCCTGTAATTATCTGTGTTTGTCAGAGGAAATCTGAGGATGACAGCGCTTCTTTCACTGATCTTTAAGCCCGTAGCTTCGGGGGGTGGCATTGTTGCTCACAAAGCATTCAGACAGGTCAGGAATTAGTGGAATATGGATGTAGGTGGCAAAAGGAAAAAAATAGCTCCCCTGAGGAATGCTTACACAACAAACATGACCCCTGGCTGCGGCTAACGCACTTTCTTGTCGAAAACGACTCTGCGTCAGCGGAGGAGTCTGAGCTTGACGTACAGTCAGAGACTCGCCGGGGACAGAGAGACACTGCCAAAAGGTTCGAAGGGCTTTGATTGTTCGGCGTCTTCCTGAAGACGAGGTGTTTCAAGTCCGTTTGACCTCCGGTACTAAAACCGTTTAGGAAACGACAATATGTTTCGACCTTCGTGACTAATAGATTCAGCAGTGATGTGAAAGAGCACAAAGGAAACCATTACACCGAGCAGGAGGAAGCCTGAATGGAGACGTGCTGTTTTTCWTTCCCTTTTTTTTTTAAAGCAGACACTGACTGAACTGTGCTGAAATTGTTTTTCCGGTGAGACTTTGACAATTGTACAAAACAATCGGTGCTGTGTTTATGTAGTGCGGACAGTTTGTGGTGTCCTACATTTGATAAAGTTTCAGGGTCGTTGCTGTTGKTTTTTTTTTATGAGGCTAAAAGCAGAAAAAAGACTGAGCTGTGATTAAAGTTTGGCTAATTTGAAGTGGTTGATTGTGGATAGCTTCTTTGACAGCCTTGGTTTGGAAAAATAACGATGACATTCAGTCCGACARACCTGATAGAAATACACTGGAAAAGACCAACAACAGCACACACCCCTTATATCTAATGAGGCRCCTTGGTAGGCACTATGTGGTGACCTTAGTCACTAAACCATGGATATTTGAGGGGAAAAAACTGAACTCAGAGCCATTAACTGTACTAGCCAGTGAAATACTGGCTTTAGTGCAAACATTATTGGTATANTTAGGTACCTGTGAGGTTAGCCTTAGGGTTTGTGGTCAGGGTTAGGCTGTAGAAATGTAATGGAAGTCAATGGAATGTCCCCAATTGGATACCTGTGCCAACGTGTGTGTGTGTGTTTTGTTCACTGCAGTAGGAGTGTGTTATTTTTATCACTGTCCTGTGCTCGCATGGTCTTTGAAGAGTTTGAAAGTCCTGCTACTCAGAGATGAGCATGAGCATCATCAAACAAAACAGCATCTCAGCCTGTCAGCAGCAGTGTGTGTGTGTGTGTGTGTGTGTGTGTGTGTGTGTGTGTGTGTGTGTGTGTGTGTGTGTGT